GTTTAATTATCGGGTAGGAAATTTTGAATACGTAAAATATAAATTTAGAGAGAATTACAGTTATTATTTACAAGATAAGAAACAACACAAACAAAAGTTAGTTAATGTCAGTTTGGTAAACACATTTAAAAGACAGTTTAAACATTTTTAATAGCCTAATTCACTAAGCATACAAATGATCTTTAAATATTTATAAATTCTAAAAAATAGAAACGTCAACTTAGAGAAAAAGATAAATTGAGTATGTGATTCTTTTTAATCAAAATTCAGATTACTTTATTAATTTTCCTTATTTTTTCATTAATTATTCATAATTTATAAATCACACTGTATATTTTTTATAATCACTATACATTTATATTCTTTGTTCGGTATGATGTCGAATAGCGTACAAATTAAAGTTTAAATTTAGGTACAATCTTCAAAAAAAATTTGTATGTATATTTAGAAAGACCAAAAAAATAAGTCTAATAAAAATTAAATTAAAAAAAAAAATATTTTCTTATTATTAACTTTTCTAGTTGTAATCAATGAAGTCATCAACCTTTTTGTATTATCTTAATTTGTGGGTTAGAATCTAAAAGTAAAACGAAACGACAGGTCCGTATTTGACACAAAATGCAAATAAGTATTCCCATGTATGTTGTTTCATAATTAAAATGTGTTATTACAGCAAACCAGAAAATTTAAAAAATATTTTCAAATGACACAGACATATCTTGCAAATCTTTGCACCAATTAGTATGTTTAAAAGTTTCCTTTTTATGTCGAGGATCTAAAATTATTGAAATACAATAAATCCAATTTGATTTATTGTAGTGTTTCAGTATTTTATCTCTTGAGACATTCAGTGCCAGAATATTTTCATCTGTAGTTGTTCTTTCCGGTTTTTCATCGAGTGTTTTGGCCCACATGAGATGCGTGTTAAAAAAATGCTATTAAAAATGTAAAATTCTTATATTTTGTCGAAGTAAATTTAAAAGCCCGCCAATTTTCAAATTAAAATAGCATTACAGCTTTTTATATTACCGACTGAGTATTAGTTGCACAAAACTATCCCACATGTCGCTGAAGGCAAACATGTTGCCATATTTATACAAAGAAACGGCAACTCTTAATTATCCTTCCTCCATGCATTGCGCTTAGTTTAAAACTGAACGCGTAACCAACGTCCAGCGGATGGGTTAGTAGAGAACAACAAAAAATAATATTATGGCAAGCAGTTGTAAGAAGGTAAAGACATACCACTTTCATTCGGAATGGAAAGAACAATACTTTTTTTACAGAAGTTAAAGATAAAAATGTGTGTTTGTTATGTAATACTTCGGTCTCCGTTGCTAAAAAAGGAAATATTGAGAGACATCATAAAACTGTACATTCTAATTTTGAAAAATCATTCCCACTACATTCTGCCGCCAGAAAGGAGAAACTGAAACAGTTAAAAAGCAGTTAATTGGACAACAATCAATATTTTTAAGAACAGTCGACAAAAATAAGGCTGCAACTGAAGCATCGTACCGTGTGTCCCAGATAATTGCACAAAAAAAAACCTTATGAAGACGGGGAAATGATAAAACAGGCGTTTTTAGAAGCTGCTGATTCGTTATTTGCCAACTTTAGAAATAAAGACGAGATAGTTTCAGCTATAAAATCTATGCAACTTTCTGCTAATACAGTGATGAGACGTGTAGAAGTAATGGGCAATGATATTTTTTTACATTTAAGAACTGACTTAGATAACTGTGTTTATTTTTCACTTTAACTGGATGAATCAACAGATGTCGTTGACACTGCCCAGATGGACGTGTTCGTCAGGATGGTTTTTAGTGATTTTACGATTAAAGAAGATCTTTTGAAGTTTATTCCACTGAAAGGACACACTACTGGACAGGAGTTGTTTTCTTATTTAAAAAATATTATTCCTTCCGTGAAAATTCCAATATCGAAAATGGTAGGCTTGACAACCGATGGCGCTCCAGCTATGGTGGGTTGTGATAAGTGTCTGGTAGCGTTATGTCGTAAAGATAAAACTTTTCCGCAATTTCTCTGTTACCACTGCATTATCCATCAGCAAGCATTATGTGGAAATTTCCTGAAACTAAACAACGTTATGAAACTGGTGGTAAAAATTGTGAACAAGATTAGAGCTCAAGCGCTACAAAGATTATTCAAAACCTTGGCCGATGAAGTTGACTGTCAATACAGGGACCTACTCCTTCACTCTGACGTCCGATGGTTAAGTAGAGGACGGGTGCTGAAACGTTTTAATGATGTCCTATCTGGCATAGTTCAATTTTTCAAACAACGCGATGAACCGACTCCGGAACTAGAAAATTCAATCTGGCTTAGAGATTTTGGTTTTCTCGTGGACATTACAGAGAAATTAAACGAACTTAATTTGCAGCTTCAGGGGAGAGACAAAGAACTAGCGGAAATGATTTCTGATATAAAAGCATTTATCAAAAAGCTGGAGTTTTAGGAACAATACCTAATTAACAGCGATGCCAAGCATTTTCCTATTCTTTCAGAAAAAATATCTCAAAATCCATTAGAACCCTATGACAGCAAATATCATGTAGAAATAGTTTCTACCCTGAATAATGACTTCAAAAATCGTTTTAAGGATTTCAACTTTAGTAGCGCAGTTTGTTGTTTCACCCTTTATGGAAATTGATATCCAACAGTTTGCAACTTGTGTTATGCAGAACTTTGGCGAAGACATCGCTGCAACAGAAATGAAAGTAATCGAGTTTCAAAATGATTTAGCCTTAAAATCCTTAGTCTCAAGTACCAAATGTATCTGGCCTATTGTAAGTAAAGACAAATATTCAGTTCTATGCCGTGTTGCCTTGAAAGTGAAAGCATTATTCAGTTCAACCTATTTGTGTGAATCTTCTTTTTCTAATATGAAGTTTATTAAGAACAAATATCGCAATCGACTTACAGATGAACATTTGAATAATTGTATTCGAATGGCTGTATCAAATTATACTGCAAACATTAAAAAAATTATCGATGAGTCTGAGTGTCAGCCTTCTCATTGAACGTCCTTTTTTATTTTTCAATGTTTATGTTCATGATAGTGCGTTACTTTTTTGTTATTATTAACTATTTTTGAATCTTACGTGACATTCCGTTGTGGCTGGATAAAAGTTTGTGTTTATTTTTCAAACACCTTCGTTTGGTAGGTAGGAGTATAGCTATAAACAAGTACGTACTAGTAATATTAGTTATTTTGTTATTAGTTTATTATTAGTACCTATGTATTATGTATTACCAGTTAAATAGTAAAATAAATACATATAATGATAAATTAACTGTGGATTATTTCATTTACGTTGCGTTACGTGGCTTCCGTGTAGGTAGCTCGCTGTTTATTCCAAAATTAACAAAGTAGCTCAACACATTGAGAGGTTGGCGACCACTAATCTAAGCTATAAATTTTAAAGTGGTCAGTGATTTTTTGCTTCTTGATTACTTTTTTATCGGTTGAAGATTTCCTTTTCCGGTTTCCCTGGTTTATTTTGGAAGAAACTCCAGATTGTTTGTCTACTTTAGTGTCTTTATCACTTTCACCACTCGAACTAGACGTTGATTGTTGTCCAGAAATATTGTATTCACTTCCCAAAGTCTTATCTTCACTACTTTCGGTAAAATTGTACATAATCTGGTCACCCTAACGCTTGTTAAAGTGTCCTGTATTCCTCGGATTCATTTTCAATAATTTATAAATACAAAAACCGCCACGAAAATTTATCAAAAATGCATCCAGCACGTGCTCGTTACGCAATTAAACTCAAACTGTCTATACCTAATACCTAATAAATATTTATGATTTATTTTGGAGACATAAGCTTTGTCCCAACATCTCACAAAACCGTAATATTACGGTCATCGTCATGCGCAGTAAATAAAAACCGTTCGACTTTGGGCTTTATTGATAGGTTTTTATTTACTGCGCATGACGATGACCGTAATATTACGGTTTTGTGAGATGTTGGGACAAAGCTATAAAGATCTTTCCCCCCACCCTCAATCCCGCCCACCACACGCAAACTGCAAAAACAAAAAAGCTTAGTGTGATATTTGCGTAGCACCTATGCACTATTTAATTCACGAGATGAAGATTTGGGTAGAATGACGCGTGTAACGCCTCACGGGAATTAATAATCAAGAAGTATCAAGAGTCTTGATATCAAGACAAGAAATTGATTGTCAAGAAGTTGGCAAGACAAGATCACACTATTTCTTGTCTTGAAAAAATCAAGACTCTTGATATCAAGACAAGGAGTTCCATTTCTTGTCTTGTTTCCATCACTAACCGCAGCACACTGTAGGGCGATGAGTAACATTGCACTTCTTTTTTTGTATTCGTACGTATAACAGCCGCAGGCTACTGCAGGGTGCTGCGTAACAATAGGTAATGTTGGCTCAATCGACTTTAATCTCACGAACATACAGTAGCTCTGTGTACACCGAATTTTAGGACATTCTGTATAAAGTTGTTAGTTTAATTTGGATGGGTCACATGCTAAAACCGGTCCTGTTTAAGTATATCCTATTTACCAACTTTGTTCCAAATTACTTATTTTCCTGTGGTTGCGAATAGGAAATCGTACTTTATCTCCAGGAAGAAGATGGATTTCTTATCATCGAACCTGCCAGTTATAGATTATACTTGGACCTAGTTTATAGTTCCGATGGAGGTATTGTATGTATTTATATGTGTATTAATGGTACATTTAACCTTATCATATAGACATCATAGCAGTTACCACACAGTACATAGACACGGGCCGCAATATGAAAGGCAACATAAACAGTACTCGGAAGGTACGTAATTTATTAAAAGAAATATCGTGTCTAATAATGTTTATCAATAATACCTAAGGTATATCTATAATTGCTTTCTTAATTATAGAGGAAAAATGAGTATAACTAGAAAATGCTTAAAAGCTTTTCAGTAGTTTCATGTTGGCAGGAAAAATTTGTAGAATATAATGATGAAATTTAGTTTGTTTATTGTTTTGAAAATTCTTAATGGAAAGTAACTACAATTAATTTTGCTGTTTTTTCAAATTGAAAATTATAGCAGTAAATTCCAATATTTAAATTTAAAAATCAAATTTTTGTATGGTTTTTATATATTTTTTAAGTTTTTAAAAATGTATTCTTGTATTACCAAAACTGTTAAATATTTAATATTAATGATCTCAATTTTCAACATAGCAGTTTTAGCACTCTGTATATAATATTTATTATTTTTGTAGGTGTAAATCCTGCTGATTGGGATTACCACAATTTGGGTAAGTTATTTTAATTTAGGCCAAATCATTGCGTATTTTTTTTGAGAAAAATACAGGTTAACGATGTAAATCCTGTACAGGGTGTCCCATCCCATCATTACTTAATTGATCTATGGCTGTTTTATTAATCAAGATACGAAGACATATTCAATTCAAAAGAGGTACTTACTGTTGATGACCATATTTAAAAACCTATTGTTAAATATACAGGGTAGTCCAATAAAAACTATATCAAATAATTGGTGGTATTCCGATTGAAAAAATCGTAACATCCCGTTTTGGCACACATAGTTTGTTTTTTTTTATTAGAATTTTGGGCCTCTTTGAGCACTAAATGAACTGAGTCTTCTTAAAATTAAGAAATTGTCTTTTAAATTGCTTTGTTAATGTAAATAATTACTGTAGAAGATTTATGTAAGAATAGACACCTCAAAAAGCTTGATACTCATTGTAATGTTGATATTTTAGGTGAATGGCCTAGAGTTTGCCAAACTGGACATTCTCAATCTCCAATCGACATAAAGAAGTGGGGTATGAAAAAAGAATTCACGCAAATGATTCACTATCACAACTTCGAAAGATCACACAGTGCTACTATTTCTAATACAGGACATACAGGCAAGTAATAAATCACTTACAGCCTTATTTACAAACGATCTCTTATCATTATTTGAAACATTTTTTTTTCGACCAACTGAGTGGAGTGAAATTTTTTAACAATATTGTAATGTGAGCCATTTCATTATTCAGTCATGCTCTAATACTCCAAGTCCCTCTCCATTCCAGAGTCAACGAGATACTATTTCTAGTCTAAATATAACGTTTCTGGCACCTTCTGGCAATTTTGGTGGGGGAGCATTCTAGACCACCAATTTGTATATAAATTGGTGGAGGAGAGCCATTAGTTATCAGTATTATATGAACAGTGAAGATAAATAGTAATCAGTGATATATAGACAGCTGACAATAAAGTATTGGACTGTGAATATAAATAGTGAACGATTCAAAGACATTAGAAATATATATATAAATTAGAAATAGTTGTGTTATAAAATAAATAAGTGTTTAAATAAATTATTAATAAATAAACTGTTGTTTGAAAATAAACTAACATCACAATATCATAACATTTTAATAGTTTCCAATATTTACGTTATAATAAAAATGGTTATTTATGATATCAATACTTTCTAGAAAAAATTGCAGCTCGTTTTCGTCGCCATAAAAATCAGGAATAGTTTCCGCGCTAACTGATTTAATCACCGACATTTAATCTACTAAATTCAGTCTAAAAGTTCTGTTTTCTTAAAATAACAAACTTGAGTTATATAAAAAATTTTTTTTTCTAATTGTTCATTTTTAGTTGAGGTAAGATTTACTGACCAAAATCGGTATCCTCTAATCATAAAAAATGGAATATTGCCTGGAGAATACGTTTTAGATAACATACACTTCCACTGGGGCTCAGAACATACATTCAACAATAAAAGGTACATGGGCGTATCAATTTCATTACAATTTAACCGTTTATTATACTACAAATGAGTGGTTCAGTAGCAGAGTTGCCTAATTTATTAAAAATAACCTTTATGTCTAATTTTTATGAAATAGGCAATTTTGGCATGCTCAGAAATGATTTTAAAATAATATACGAAGACCCGTCGTTTTTAAATGATTAAAAGTGAGTACCTACACCTGATACTAGACGAAACTGCCTAATCTTTAGATATCTATACACGGTGGTACCGAAAATGAATAATAGAAAACTTTGGCACGCACAGCAAATATTTTAAAACAACAATATACAAAAATATGTTATTTTCAAATTTTGTTGGTTAGGTAATTCTGGCACTGATTCACTCAAATGCATCATTATAAAATTATTATAAATAATTTAAATTACATTTTATAAAAATAGGTCTATATCATGTTCAGAATTTTAGTATCAATTTTTTTTTATTTTTCCAACCACTATTTTTAATTGTGTAATCCAAACAAAAAATGTTTTGTAGGTATGCATTCGAGACTCATCTGGTTCACTACTTACGGCAAGCAGGCAGTTTAGCAAGAGCTCTCCAAATGGAAAATGGCGTTGTTGTTCTAGCAGTTCTGTCTGAGGTAAAACATATTATTTGCCCCATGTGCAATCTAAAAGAAACATAAAAAGCAATACTAATTTTATTGCCAACAATATCTGAGCGATTTCTAGATAACTGTGTAGTGCTCGTTACGAATATGAAGTCTATTTAGTTGGATTGGCTCTATTTTTGGAGATAAATTAGAAAATTATGATAAAATAAAGAAATAAATCACTTTAAGAATGGTTCGTTTATGACTACAATCATATTTTGTCTTATTGGCCAATTAATCCTGTTCCAATGATCTTGCTTCGCCCTACTATCCCACAAGCAGATAAAACAAGGGTGTTTCGTGTACTTACCTTGCTGCCCAGGCAAGAAGTTCACCATTTTTAGATCCATACAAATGGAAAACAGATGCTCTTCATAGGAGAGTTTTTGCAATACTGACTTAATGTTTTGATATTCTTTTTTAAGTCTTGCTGAGTGGGCGATAGGAATTGAAGCATATCGGTTGCCATTATGTAGCAAAACACACTTTAAGCTTTTACTGGAACTGTCTATGAACAGTTACTTGGTACAAACTGAAGTCTGGGAATATTGTTGCAATAAACAAAGTTTAACCTCCTGTGTTCTATAAATTGTTATTTTTATATCTGGCTGTAGACAGTTTTTTTCTTTTAACCTGGATGCTAAAAGTTCACATGCTTGCTTTGATAGACCGAGGTCCGTATTAGGTCATTCAGTTCTTCTTGGGAGAACTGTTGGGGTGTTGATTGTATTCCCTCATATTCACTTTCACTGCTGTTACTGTACAGGTCCTCAATTTCTTCTACTTCTGACATCGAAACATCTGACAATGTCGTACATACTGGTACGGGAATCTCTTCGTTATGTGGCACAGGTCTTCGTGCTGATTCTAAATCAGGATATTCCCATTTGCCTTTCTTGTATCTGTTAAAACCTTTTACATTAACTAAACAAAAATAACAATCGTCGTGGTGGTTTTTGGGTTCTCTCCACACCATAGGCACTCAAAATTTTAAACATTTTCTTTTTTTAGTTTGTTTATTGTCGTAAAGATTCGACACATGTTTTACACACCATATGGGGAGCCCAGGACTTGTCTTGATCTCCAAGCACTACACCGAAATAACCTTGATAAGCTTGCCTATATGTGATATTTTTTCTTTGCTTCTCTACAGTATATTCGCCACAAATGTAGCAGAAGACATTGGGGTTATTCAAGCAGCTGCTTCGTGAAGAACTCATTCCTCTTCATTCCTCTTAAAAAACTTTCTTTTATTTTTTAATTCAGCAGACCTGAATTCCCCTTAATTCGTTCAAAAATATTTGGCAACAAATTTTTTTTGAAATTTTGTAGGGCGGTGTTTTTTAAGCAATTACCTTTATATTTTAGATCCATCACAGGGACACAACGCAAGGTTTCATAGAAATCGCCAATTCCGTAGCGAATGTCGCCAGAAGACTTGAACAACCAATCAGCTTAGGTTCAACGATTTGTCCCGATGATTTTCTACCGAAATACAATAGGGACTTCTTTTTATACAGAGGTTCTCTGACTACACCAAACTGCACGGAAGGAGTTCATTGGCTTGTGTACGAGCAGCCTTTGAATATAAGAAATAGTGAGGTTAGTTATTTAAACGAAACATGCAATATTCTTTTCAAAGAATGAAGAATAAAAGTGCTTGAAAATAAGGTGTAATAGGAACATTCATATATCACACAGAGACCGCAGTCGCTCGTTGTGCATAAATATATATCTAACGAATGCAGAGGGCGAGCCTAATGGTATAGGATTCTGGAAAATATCCTATGAGCTACAGAATCTGTAAGATACAGTAATGTGATAATTTTTTACAGATTTTGGCTTACAGATCTTATAGATTGTCTCAGAATTGATCCATAAGTCTTATTTTATCTTTAAGTCGCCCCGGAGCGCTACGGCAAATAATAATATTAGCCGTCCCTTTCCCCGTACAAGCTCAGCTTTTGGGGTTAAAATTCACTCGTAAGGGAGTGAATTAGGGAGAGTATTATTATTATTATTATTAATGCGGAATCTCTGCATGTTCCTATTAATCTTAGCTCAACATATTGTAAGATATACGGTGCGTGTTAAAAATTCCTTACCTGTATCTAACATAACCGAGAACATAACACACTAAGTACCTATTAATTTTTATTTCAGTTGGACTCATTGACGAAGATCTACGATAAAAATAGTAATGAGATAACCCAAAGTTATCGCCCTATTCAGAACTTGAATGGCAGAACCGTTAGGTATATTTGTGAAATATAAAAATAAAAATAAAAAGTTTGAGCCTGAGCATAGTATTTTTTTTTTTTTTTTTTTTTTTCATTGGTATATGTACGAGAAACAACTTACTTACAAAATCTTTATTAACGTATTTACAATTTTTCACAATGTCTATTACAATATAAATATATATAAATTGCAGACGGATATCTTCTAAAACGAGCCCGGAAATATTCCAATTCTGCAAAGACCCCCCAACGGAGCCATGACCGATGTCGTGGCCGTATACCTATATTGTTTTAGTTATAATTTTGATTAACGTGGTCCCTCCTTGCCGTATAACAGCAAAAATCCGTATTTTTGAAAAAGAATCCGGACACCCGTAGAATACACTGAAAACCCGTAGAACTACGGATTAATCCGTAGCTCTGGCAACATCGGTCAAGCGACCAATACCTGTTGCTTGTTACTATATGCACGCCAGGAACCCCGCCTGCGCCTTGTTTAGACTGTTTGGAGCACAGAACACTTACTGGTTTGGAGTCAGTGTTGGGGTTGGTCAAACCAAAAGTATATTAACCGTTGAGTAGCGACAGCTGGGGAACCGAATTCTAATGCGCCGACGCGAAATGAAAGGCGTCGTCTTCTAAAGATGTAAACAACCCCTTTTACTTTAGTCCGGCAGCTGATATAGGAAATCGTTGTTTGTGGATTTATTAGTGCTCTTTTATTGGGTTTTGTTAAGAAAGGGAATTTTGTTAATTTTATATTTAATTTGGACAACATTTTTCATGAGCAATCTGAAAAAATCTTTATAGAGGATCAAATTTCTCATAAACTCTTATCATACTTTGGAAATATAACATTTGATCATCCATGTAAAGAATTTCCAAAACTATTTTTGTTTAAATTATTTATTAGGTGTAAAATATTTTATACATTAAAATTTAATAATAGGAATTTAAAAAGTTACGGTTCAATAAAAAGCAAACAAGGTACACGTAAATTAAAGAACTTAATGCATAATGAAACATTTACCTGTTTAAATACCTATTTTTTAATAAATAATTTAAGATTTACACGTTGTTTCAATCTCTTTTTTCATTGGCCATAAAAAATTCATTAATTTTTCGGGGATATGTAATTAGAACCAAATAAATTAAATAATTAAAATCTTTTAAAATAAACGATTTTATTAGGGTCGTCAGAACACTAACATGGAAAAATATGCACTAAAAAGTGAACAATATGTAAGCCTGACAAATAACTGCTAAAAAAATATTCGTAAACTAATTAGCGCACTCAAGTAATCTTGCCTGATTTAAACCATCATCTCTGCACTACCTCAAAGGTATAATATGTGCCATTGACAAAAGTACTAATTCTTTTTGTTTAATTAAATAAAGATATGTCCATTCAATTTACTTTTTAGTGCAATTTTGTTGATCTGGTGCCTAATAAAATCATTTACCTTAGTTAATGTCTATTAAATTTATTCATAACTTGAATAGCAACATTATCACAGTATTATCATTTATGCGTAATTATTACAAGACTTTTTTCCTGATAACTTTTCACAATTCAGTTCCTCAAATCACAGTCAATGACCTCAAATATAATACCAAATCCAAGTTTGAAACAAATCGGATCATCAAAACCAAAGTCTGCAAACTTTATCTTTGTTAAATTCAAGTTGAAACTCATATTTGGCGGCCTTCATCACCATCACCACCATTAGGAAAGTCCGCCATTTTGATATTTTTATGTTTAGATCAAAAATTGTATTAAGACCACCAAGTTTCTAGTTTGAGACAAATCGGTTCTTAAACGGAAAAGTCCGCCATTTTGATTTCCTTGATTTTTTGTCAGAAATCACAATTAGCGACCTCAACTCAACAACCTCCAAGCTTAAGTAAATCTATTCATAAGTATAAGAATAGTAAGATTGTCCCCTATTTTGCTGTTAACTACGAAAGCGTAGAGGGCCACGGTGAAAAAAAAAAAAGACAGTTATATCTTCCATTAGTGCTACTGCTAATTGACATTTACATCTGTTAATTAGGCTAATTCCTAGTTCTGTCTGTTAAGTTAATGTTAATTGACACATCTGTCAATTAACGCTAATTGACATTTACATCTATCAATTAGGTCTAAGTGTCAATTAATTAGCATTAATCGACAGCCAGAACTGGTAATCAGGCCTAATTGACAGATATACCTTAGGTCAATTAGTAGTAATTGATAGCTAGAACTGGGAATTAGACCTAATTGACAGATGTAAGTGAAAATTAGCACTAATTGACTGTCAATTATATATTTTTTTCACTGTGATCCTTCTACGCTTTCGTAGTTTACAGTAAGGTTCATCAAAAATTAGAATGATTGACCAAATGTCATCAGATTTGACACTGACTTCCATATTGTTGTATGAATAACTTGTCAAATCAGATACCTCTGTCAAACACTTTAAACGTGTGAATTAAAAGTTTTGAGTAACGGGGCGCATTATTAGTCAAAAATTGTATTCAGCGACATGTTTAAACAACGCGAAATTTAAAGTTTGAGACAACTCGATTAATAAATAAGAAGGTCCATAAGTAATAATTTCTATTGTTATCAAAAATCAAAACCCTGTGCACCTACCAACTTTCAAGTCTCTAATTCATCCGGACGTAGGTAAAAAAGTTGAAATTTATCAATAGTGATATATATTTTTATATTTACTACATAAGTTAAATACTCATAAATATAAAACTGCCTAATGACCAAACCTTTATTATAAATGTAAACTACAAAAGAGTTTTACTTCAAATTACGTCGAGCAGTGTAAACATCACATTCAAGACCAGTTCATAATTCGAGCAGTGTTTTACTGTGTCGTTCCGTCAATAACGTCAAAAGAGAGAGAAAGAAAATTTGCACCACCCAAAATCAAAGGCACCGACGCTTTATGTCGCTACTCAACGGTTAATATACTTTGGTCAAACTACGAATAGGACGCTTTCTTAGTCATTTCCAATCAAGCGGCTGCATATTATCATATTCATTATGCGCTGGGCACAAAGAACAAGCGAAAAAGCAGAAAATAGTGTAAAAATATTATATTCTACTTAAAAAAAAATCGTTCGTTTGGGGGAAGCCCGAGCCCCCCGGGCCCACCCCTTATATACGCCACTGATAATAAACAAAAATCAATAACTTAGACATATAGATATTTAAAAGACTATCGCTGTCTCGCTACGCTAACCGTCTTTCTTTCTATCTCTCTCTGGCTTGGCTAATGTCGAATCGAGCCAGTTTACACTAGCATGTTGGCTCAGTTTCATTCAGAACCTAGGAAAAAAGTTATGCAAGGCAAGTCAAAAAGTTTTTATTTGAAAAACGTATATTTATTTAGAAGAAAAAACATAAAATTTAACTATTTTCGGTAATGGTTTGGTTAATCCAATCGATGAAGTTAGAAACCTTGGTGTACACATTTGGAGCTCCGGATGCACCGCATGGCTTAATGGTCCATGTGACGGTACCGACGACGGTTCCGTTTTGGGATAGAGGACCACCGAAGTCACCGCTGCAGGTATTTGATGCTCCACTAAAGGTACATATGTTGCTATCGTCATCTATAACAATTTTTTCATATGGGAGGAGTTTTTTGAACTTATCGTAACAATCTAAAACAATGAAAGAGAACATATAGTTTGTTTTCACTTTTTAGGTACCAAACATAAGGTAGTAAGTAAGTAAATAAATTTACCAAAATTTTAGTAACAAATTCATATTTGTCTTTAAACAATTTTTAAATTCTTGTCAGATTAAAACGAGAAAACCGTAAATTCCGAAACAGAAGCAGATGATTATAACGCACTTATTGTCACATTTAGTATTGTTATTTAAACGATATAAAATGTAAATAATACAGATTTTGATAATATTGAAATCTCCCTTTACATATAATTCCAGTCAATACGAACGGGATTGTTCCAAACCAAGAAAATCAATTGAAATTAAAATACTACTAAAAAATGGTTTAAAAAACACAAAATAAGGCCTCTTTTTCTTTTATCTCTGCTCCGGCTAGCTCCATTCTATATCTGTGCCCTCCTTCTATCTCCCTTATTTTCAATTAGTTTTGTTTGTCGCTCTTAAACGCTCTCTGGGACTTCTCTGTTACGTTTAGAATGTTAATTTTTAATAGATAATTTGATTCTGAATTCGATGTTAAGGTAGTAGAACTAATAAAATAAAAAGTAGCAAATATTTCGGCTGTGTATTGACAAATTAAGACTGTTATTAGTTATGAAGAAAAGTTGTGAGAGACTGGGATTAGGGGATTAGGGTTTCCACTGGTTGCAGGAGTAGCGGAGGATGTAATGGCTCGAAGAAACCTTGGATGTAGAAAAATTAGGTCGACAAAGTAATGAATACAAAAACTATTTAAATAAAAATGTTATGAGAATGTACATCTTTTTGTATTTTCCAAAAATATTAATTAAAAATTATATAAATGCATATTCAAAACTGAGTGAAGTTATCCACATTAGTACAGCCAACCAAATATTTCTGGTAACTCTTAATAATTAACTGTATACTAAACGACAGTGTCAAATGCATGGTGCATATCAATTAATTCTAGGTTAATAATAAATTTTAAGCATTTGATAGTTACCAACATATATTACCATGGAATAGTGCTATGGCTGTAAATAAAACATACTTACCATCATTAGAAATTAAGGACAGATTAGTGACGGCTTGGAGTATGCTGTAGTCAGCGGTAGTAATGCTATTGTAACCGTTCACAACAAATGTACCGTTGAATTCTTGGCCTTGCGATGGTAATTTTGCTGGTTGCACTTTGTCGTTAAAGGTCAGTGCTTCAGATAACTTAAATAGACCAACATCATTAGGACCTTGACTGGAAAAAAATTAGTATTTTATCTAATTTTGTTCATTTTAGTACCATATCTTAAATTATTTTTATATCGAACTTTAATAATTGATAGGGCATCGCCTAACAATGATTTAAAATAGTTCTTAAAGAG